ACCCTTGGGGCCTCAGCCAGGCCTGCTGTAGCCCCACTGGCTGTGTCTCTAGTCACCAGCCTCCTGGCTCACCGCCACCTGCCCACGTTCCTGGGCCTATTGGCCACACTCGGCCCCCTCACCCTTGGCCCAGCCCTAGGCCGGTGCTCCCCATCCTAGGCCCTTAGGACCTTTCTCTGGGTGCCAGCTCCTCCCCCAGGGGTCCCGGCCCCTCTCAGTCCAACCTTGGGGCTGCAGAGTGAGCGGTCTCAGCCTGACTGCCAACCCCTCTGCTGACCGGTTTCCAAGGGCCACAGCTCTTTGGAGACCTCCCTTCCCCTTGTGCCTGTGCCCTGCGGGGGGCCCTCCCGTCCTGCACTCCAGGGACGCCTGCCCTGGCCACGTGCAATATTCAGGGGGGACACCTGTCTCACTCGGTGAGATCTACAAGGCAGGGGACCCTCGTCCTGGGGGGGTCTTCAAGGCCAAGGCCAAGGCCACCGCAGACCTGTTCTGGTCACTCGTTCCCCTCATAGGCTGGGGCGCAGCGCCCTGAGGGGTTTCGCTCCAGCCAACGGCTGACCCGGGGCGGGCCTGGCACGGCGTGGACACCCGGGGCCTCCAGGGCATCGCCGTGTGACGTGCACACGGACACTGAGGCACAGTTAGGACTCGGGACCACCGAAAACCTGTACAATAGTTCATATATTTATTGTTAAGCAAGTTATCAATAAAAAATTTAATACTAAAATGCATTTACATAGAGTTTGCTGTTCATAAAACCTTTGTGTTTTTGTTTGTTTTTAGTGTTTACATTGAAAAAAACCCCCCTCCCCCCTTAGTTTACACATTTACAACAGCCGGGCTTCTGCCGGGTGCGGGGGCGTCACACGCAGGCCGCCGGAGGGACGGGGAGAGACAGCGAAGGACAGGGCTCCTGCAGAGGGAAGGGTCAGCGAGGAGAGGGGGCCCCCCACCCCGCCTGCTGCCTGGGTTGCAAACAGCCTCGGGCTCTAGCTGCGGGCTGGGGCTGTCCCCACGGCCCTGGGCTCCTGGCCTGACTTTCTCCATCAGCATCTTTCCGTGCCCCCAGCCGCAAGCAGGGCCTCGGCTGCCGTCTACGCAGACGGCCGCCAGGAATGAAATATTGCACTCGTGGGGAGACGAAAGGGGAGGCGGGGTGGAGGAGGTAAGCCGGGGCGCAGGGGACCCCCCTCCTGGTCCCTGCGCTTCCCGCAGAACTGCCAGGAGTAGTAGGAGGGGCTTCCAGGCAGCCGGAGGGTTTCCTGGTCAGAAAGAAAGAGGGGCGAGAGGGGCCGGGGTTGGGGTGCCAGGCACCCGCCAACACCCCTTGTTTCCAGGGAACCTAGGCTGTGTCTGTAGGTCACACGAGAGCTCATCCTAAGGAGCAATGGCTAACTTGGGGGGCTTTCCTGGGGCTCCCGGGGGGGGGGCCAGAGGAGCCTCTGAGCAGCTGGCCCCGTCTGTCCCTTTTGGCCTCAGGAGAAGTGAAGAAGTGACAAGTTCTGAGGGTCTGGGATGCCCGCCTGGCACTGTGGTACCCAGGGCGCTGGGCAGAGGGGGAACAGCCCCCCTCTCGGGGCTGGGGTGTGGGCTGGGGCACCCCTGTTCTTGCCCCAAGCGCCACCCNCCGCCAGGCCGCCGGCCCTGCCAAGAGGCTTCAGAAAAGGCCCAGAGGCCCCTGCTCTCCGCAGCGGCCGGACAAACGGACATCAGAAAGAACGTGGGATATTCAGGAAATGAAATCAAAACATCGCTTTTTCATATCAACACTTTCAAACATTTGTTCATTTTTGTTCCGTCTGAACAGAGGTAAGAGACGTGTGGCTGCCGTTGCGCTCGGCGGGGGGCTGCTGTTTATTTCAGCTTCTGGGACCCCCTCTCCCTGGGGGGCCCTCACGGGCGCACCCTCCCCCTAACACTTTTCCCCCAGGAGACGGGTTAAAAGGAAATAAACTCGAGCGTGACTTCCACGTGACCCAGTCCCCCGAGGGGTCGGTGGGGTGACCCGGGGTCCGGCCCGGCCCCCCGGCGGCCCCTGTAGTCACAGATGCCCCAGGCGGGACTCAGCGAGGCTGAGGAAACAGTGCATTTTCAAAGAAAACTCCCCAGAACAAAACCCCGCAAACGCGCGCACACACACACGCACACACACGCGTGTGCACGCACACACACGCGTGCACACACACCCTCGTGGGGAAAAGGAACCCTTTCCCGCCTTCCCCCCCCCATAAAACTTCCCCAAAGAAATACAATATTTACAGAGAGAAATAAATAGACAACACACCTGATTTCTGCTTTCCCTGGTGGGAGACAGTCGGAGGTACTAGGGAAAATATGGCTTGGTTTCTAATCTCTCGTGAACTGCCGATGGGAAAGCAGAGCGCCCGGGGTCCTGGGGGCCGGGGGGCGGGTGGCACCGTGACCCCGCTGCGGGCAGCGGTGGCGGGACTGGGTGCCGAGGCCCAGGAGCTCCCTCTTTCCAGGGAAATTAATAAAAAAGCCTGGGTCTTGCCCCGGTGGGTTTGCATATTTGTTTACTTGCCCCGCCTCCCGCTCGGCGGGGTGGGGCCGGCGTCATCCGTCCGAGTCCCCCCCCAGCTCCGCGCACCGGGCACCGCGGGCGCCACCGGGCGGGCGCAGGCTCAGCACAGGATGGGCACGCCCTCGGCCGTCACCAGGCGCCCCGTGGCGGGGTCGTAGGTGCCCGCCAGGTAGTAGAGGTCCCGCCGGTCCTGGCACTTGCGGCTCCGCGCCATCTGCTCGTACTGCTCGCGGCCCACGACCTGGCACTTGTGGGAGATGGTCTGCACGTCATTTTCGTCCTCGTGGCAGGACTGGTACAAGGCATTCTGCGGGCAAGGGCGGGAGGCCTGCGTCAGAGGCCAGGAGGCCGGTAGGCCCACCGACCGGGCGCGTCCCGGCTGCGGTCGGGACGGGCCTCTGTGCTGCCCACAGACACGGGCTCAGGGTAGCAGAGGCCTCGCGGGGGCTGCAGGGTCGGGCCTGCCTTGTGCCACCTGCCGCGGTGGGTCACAGCTCCCCGCAGGGTGAAACCATCACCCCTTCGCAGGGAGCCGCGTGGGTGCCCAGGGAGGAGCCCGCGCTGTTGCCCCCGGGGCCTGGGCACCCCGGGCCGGGAGGTCTGAGGGTGTGGGGCCTGGGTGTCAGGTGTTTGCAGGTGACCCCGGCCTGGGGGCTCCCCACACCGCCCTCGAGCCCCTCCCAGGCGCCAGCGCCCGGGCCCACCTTCCCATCACTGTGCCGCTTGCCCAGCTTGGTCTCTTCGGGGTGGTAGAACCACTTGACCCGCACCACCATGTTGCTGCCCCACGACTCCCACAGGCTCTCGATGCGGCCGACGTAGGGCAGGTTGGGGCGGCCGGCGGACAGGAAGACCGCGCAGTCCCCGACGCGCAGGGTCTCCTTGCCCCGGACGATGGCCTTGTAGAACAGCTTCCGGGCCTTGCCCTTCATGCCGCGCCTCTGCGGGCGACACCGGGCCGGGCGCCGTGAGGGCAGGGTCTCGGGCAGGTGGCCGCAGGAGGGACAGACAGCGGGGAGAGCCGGGGGAAGGCGGCGGGCGCGGGCACCTTCGAGGGCTGCAGGGCAGCCCCGCTGGCGAGCCCGGCCCAGGATGGGGTCACGCGGCCACGGCGTCGGGCC